AACCAACTTCCTCCTGACTGCTTTTCTGTTTTCTTTTGTTTCTTTTTGTTTTTGTTTTTGTTTTGTTTGTCTAGCCTCCCTCCCAAATGTAAAGCGTCTTTGGGTTCAAGAAAAGCGCTATAGAAATAAAATGTATTATTATGCCGGTGCACCAATGTGAATCGGTGAATCTTAACATCCCTAATACCTAGGTGTACAGTATACACCCTGTGTCCACCTAATGTCAATTCAAACACCATGACACAATTCCATCAGATTAATGATAAAAACCTAGAGGACACAAACCACAACACTGAGACTGCTCTTGTAAAGGTCTTGAATGACATCCACTTAAAGGTGGGGTAGGTAATTCACTTCACAAACACTTGTTGTTATATTCCTTGGAATGCTCTTAACATCCCGATAGCAATGAATATCTGAAGTGCTTTGTCAATAAATCCATAAAAAAATGTCATCTCTGGAAGCCGTAGCGCTGTAAAAAGCACGACCAATCATCTGAGCCGGCCCGGCTAAAATAACTGGATGGCCTACCTGCCTGTCAGCCTTCCATCTGTGCACAAACTTATCTCGTGCCCTCATTGGTCATGTGCACGTTCGTGTGTGTTGGAGGAGGGGCTCTGTAAGGAAGTGGCAGATTTTTTCCGGTTGTGTATTTTCAAATTCTAGCGCACTCGAGCTGGTTTCTCCAAAATTGCCTACCCCACCTTTAAGTTACTTTTAACATATTTGACTGTTACACATACCATTGTGTACGCTTTTTGTTTTTTTTGTGCTAAATATATTCTCTTTTTTTTTATTCTTTCAACATTTACTGAAATTAATTGAAAATGTTTAAATGCTTATTAAAAACACGTTAACAATGTTACAAATTATAAATAACTGACACGAAATGTATATGTACTGTTTCTGGTTTTGAACGTTTCTGAACAAACAGCCATCATGTGGTGTCCTTTTCCTCAACCAAGGCTGAAAAAAGCTTTTGTCTTTGTATTCTATAACTAATATGTTTTTTTATTTTCCTCTATATGTAATAAGTTAGCCTAGTCTTTGTTTGCACATTGTACACAAAGTTCCCTTCTTGAATATTTGCGAGGCTTTCCTATCGTCATTCCAATACTGCACATTTTGTATTTTATTTCAACAAATAGTTTGAAATTATACTGTGCGTATTAATATTATTTTTGAGTATATCTATATTACATATAGATATTGCTTAATGTTGTAATAGTTTTCTTATAGTTGTTTTATTATTTGGTCCTTTTATTAGAATTTAAATGATTTAATAATAATAACTGAAATGTAGATAGTATCTTTCATAAACCCAAAGACACTTCTACAGTAAACAAAGAAATAAAAAGGGAGAAAGACAAAATGCAAATCTAATAAAAAATATACATTAATGGGAAAAAGGGATAAATAAATACACACATCGATAAATAAGTAAAGTGATAATTTGATGAATATATTGGACTTAAAGCAAATATCAATAACTATTCAAATCTATAATAATAATAATAATACCTATTAATAAATAATAAAAGGGGAAAACGATAAACGAAAATATAAATGACTAAATAAATACAAATAATCAGAATACTCTATGTATATATATTGTAATACTCGTTCTATTATTTGTTGCTAGTAAACCAAGAACAAGCTTAAAAACCTAATGCAAAGTGATTGTAAGTAATTATAAAACATTAAACAGTTTCTAATGAGGAGTCAAAGAGTCTCTTTGTGTCGACAACTTTAATGAGACACTGTTGACCACCGAGTGCTCCTTACAAAGCTGACGTATTTCAATTTTTCGGCAGATTCAATAAAGTGGGTTAAGCCTTACTTATCGAACAGAAAACAGTGTGTTTTGGTCAACGGTACCCAGTCGCCCTACCTTGTGAACCCTGTTGGGGTTCCACAAGGTTCCATTCTTGGACCATTACTGTTTTCTCTGCACATTAATGACTTGTCTAATGTATGTCCTGATTTGAATGTACAAATGTATGCCGACGATGCAGTCATCTTTTTGCACAAGAAAAACACTGAAATGATCTCATCCTGTTTCTCAAATGCTTTGGACAACACTGGCTGAACAACACTGGCTTACAGTTAAATGCAAAAAAACAGTATGCATGATGTTCAGAAAACTACCAGTCAAAATCGAAGGATCCAACGTGTTTTTAAACGGAGCAGAAATAGAACTAGTCTCCCAGTTCAAGCATCTTGGAGTCATACTGGACTCAAACTTGACTTTCAAAGATTCCATGTCATGGCCATTTCTACTGATCATAATTCCATTGTTGAGGTATACTAAAATAGATTTATACTGTGCAATTTTCCAAACTCACATTGGTTTCTCATACAGCATCCCTGTAAAGTATGCGTATTCACCGGTATTCACTCTCTGTCCTAAACGGCTTGTTGGAGCTCCTGCCCCCCCTCCCTGTGAGCCCAGTGTGCTCTGATTGGTCGCGAAGCTGAGAGGCTCGTTGCTGCTCGCAGCTCCTCGCAGCTGTGTGAGCAGCTGCAGGAGCAGACAGGCTTCCGTGTCGGCGTCTCGGCGATACAGGAGAACAAGCGAAACTCATCCTGAGCACACAAACACTCACAGCCGAAGTAAAAACAATAAGTGTGGCTTGATATTGAGTAAGAAAAAGGTTTATAACGCTGTGAGCATGGGTCTGCGGAGAGCATTTCTCCGTGATCCCAACGTAGTACCCCAAAAAACGTTTACCCATTTAAACAGTCGTGGTAGATACCTTGTTGTTTTAAACATCATAAATACACAAACAACAATGAATACTTACAGGTTGTGTACCCGAATCTCCCGTTGGTCCAAACAAAGTAGGAACAGCATCGTTCTTCAGTGCCCTACACTGTACATATCCGGCATTAATCGCTGAAAGGTTTGGGAAGCTTTGTTTCGTGAAAGGCTGGCAGAGGGTGCGGCCATAGCTCTGGGCGTGGCTACTGAGTATCCCGACGTAGCAATACCCAGGAATTAAACATTGGAAAAATTAGAAATCTCCAACGAGGCGTTTTGGGGCAGCATAGACTGTTTTAGAGTTTTACTCGCTACAGGTTGTACTTTGAGGGTTTTTGACTCTGCAGACCGTTTAGATGCAGAAAAACCTTCATAACACACAAGGGGAAGGGTAATAACCGGAAAAGCATGACATGGGACCTTTAAGAAACATATTAAGAAAGTATCCAATACCATTAAATTCAACTTGCAATTTTTCTTACAAATGAGACCTTTCTTAACGGTCAAGTCTGAAAAGTCATACCTCCACTGTATGATTCTATCCCACATTGAATACTGTTTGACAAACTGGTCGTTTGCTTGTGCCACACACCTGAAACCCATAGAGCAGCTGTTCAAGAGAGCTATCAAGGTGTTTGACAGAAAGCCAAATGCATACCACCACTGTACCATCCTTGAAAAACACAATTTCTTGAGTTTTGACCATTTTAAGTCTTTTAAAAGTATGTGCTTTATTTATAAATGTTTACATGGACATGAATGTGCATTGTCCCTATTCAACTAAACAATTAAATGAAATGAGAAACTAGAAAGCAAGTTTTAAGTTTACAGCTCAGATTATTACAGCAGCAAGAATCACATTTACTGAGAACACAGAAAACTAACGGCCGTCACAATGAAGTCAAAAATTGAACATGAGATAATATTATAGCAGAGTTTCACTAGAACAATGTTTGTTCAAACAAAACAAGAACGTCACAAATGTATTTTTATCACTTCTCATACCAAACGTGTCTTAGTGTTTTGAACATCACTTGAAGTAATAAATAAAAAAGTACCAAAAAGGCAACTCAAACATTTCAATTGAACATAAACGTAGAATAAAAACTATTCAGTGAACATCACACACCCTAATCAATTATCTGTCATGTGTGCAGATGCAATTTCAGTGAGCATCAATTGATTAGGAAGTATAATATATACAGACCAAAGATCAAGAGATGCTTCTATTTACAGGTGTTCCCTAAACGTTTCATTCACAGGCTGCTGGTAGACAGATCATTGTTGCGTTCAGGATCGCCGCAACAGTATACATTTGCTTTATATAAATCAAAAAACACTTTTATTAACCAGAGCACTCACATGTAGAACTAAGTTAGTGAGGGCAGCCGGGTTTTGGGGAAGTCTGAATGTAGTCCATAAAAAAAATGTTTATTAGAGCGTAAAGTCACTATTGGTCAGCTTTACATTTGGAGAAAATCAGGGGGAATGCTAGCTTGACTCAGAAAAGGATCAGATGGAGGCAGAGTGAGTGCGCTGGTGGGATCTAAGATTACCACCTTGAAAAAAGGTTTCCCCACACTCTTCACACCAGTATGGTTTCTCTTCTGTGTGAATACGATGATGGATCTTAAGATGACCTGATGTAGAGAATGTTTTCCCACGCTCTTAACAGTTGTATGGTTTCTCTACTGTGTGAATGCGCTGGTGGTATTCAAGGGTAACTTTTTGAGAAAATGTTTTCCCACACTCTTCACAGCTGTGTGGTTTCTCTCCTGTGTGAATACGATGATGGATTGTGAGATCACTTGATTGAGCAAACGTTTTCTCAAACTCTTCACAGTTGTATGGTTTCTCTCTTGAGTGAATGCGTTGGTGGTATTCAAGGGTAACTTTTTGAGAAAATGTTTTCCCACACACTTCACAGCTGTGTGGTTTCTCTCCTGTGTGAATATGATAATGGACCAGAAGTCCTCTTGGTGTAGTGAAATGTTTCCCAGACTGGTCACAGCTGTGTGGTTTCTCTCCAGTGTGAGTACGATAATGCCTCTGAAGATTACCTGATGTAGTGAAATCTTTCCCACATTGGTCACAGCTGTGTAATTTCTCTACAGTGTGACTACGATAATGGGACTGAAGTTCACTTGGTCGAGAGAAGTCTTTCCCACATTGGTCACTTATGTGTGGTTTCTCTCGAGTGTGGATGCTCTGGTGTACTGAAAGGCTGCCTTTTCGAGAAAATGTTTTCCCACACACTTCACAGCTGTGTGGTTTCTCTCCTGTGTGGATGAGCTGGTGGTTTGAAAGTATGCTTTTCTGAGAAAATGTTTTCCCACACACTTCACAGCTGTGTGGTTTCTCTCCTGTGTGTATGCGCTGGTGGTTTGAAAGGCTGCCTTTCTGAGAAAATGTTTTCCCACACACTTCACAGCTGTGTGGTTTCTCTCCTGTGTGTATGCGCTGGTGTGTTGAAAGGCTGCTTTTTAGAGAAAAGGTTTTGCCACACACTTCACAGCTGTGTGCTTTCTCTCCTGTGTGGATGAGCTGGTGTGTTGAAAGGCTGCTTTTTAGAGAAAATGTTTTGCCACACACTTCA